TATGCTATACGGAATTTTTACCGTTGAGGAGATATTGCGTCGAGGATCTATCGAGGATGATTCTCGGCCGCTCAAAAAGCCGCTCCCTTCTTCATTGCAAGTGTAATTCGTTGGCAACGCTCGAAATGTGTCTAGAATACATTTTTCAACATAAGCAATAAGAAAAGGGGCAATCGTCATCGTCCGATCTCGTCTCAGTATAGGCCATGCATCCGACCTCCACTCAAGTTGTAGAATCTATTGAAAGGTGTTATACATATGATGATGACCTGTTGACAGAAAGTGTAACACATCTCGTAACTCCTGTAACCTAAGGAACAGCTTCATTTGTCCAAGGCCTTCTAAAACTATTGTCGTTTTTGCTACAGCGTCCCTAACAACAGTGCTATTCTCAACGAGGTATTAAGGGCTTTCTAGAACGTGCACATGTGGGCCCGTTCCTTGCGGAGATGCACTTTCATTCTTTGTACTGCTTTCAAATACGTCCTTCTCATAAAGGTAGAACAATGCAGCGAATGAACCTGCAAAGAATATTTCAATCATGTTTCCTCACATATCTTCGCTACACCCTCTTACTCTTATCTGCACCACTGATGTAACTGCCTCCACAAGTATGACCGCCCATGACTCGGTCTGAGATAGGTACGACCCCCCCCCGTCGAGGATTCCTCGACCGATACTCACCCTGTTCTCGAGTACACTTCATGGCTATCCACCCTGATGGCCTATAGGTCGCTACGGAATTTTGTAGCATTGTTCATTACTGCGGTCCCTTTCGAGATTCAAGATTACATTTGAACTCTATCATAATACATCAATGGTTCTGTTTAAGTGACAACCGGTTGTCGTTGTTTTTATTGGGGTCGTGTCCGATAGCGATGGATCTAGAAGGGACAACTATCTTAGGTCTGGATAATTGCGGCCCTTGAAGGTTGCAATAAAAAGCATGATCGAATCGGTAATGAGTTTTTTGTTGCGTTTAAAGCTGCTAGATTCTGCGAGAAATCTAAGTGGAATATCAGGATAATACGGTGTTGTTTGCATCACTGTCAAAATACGATTACTTTCGTCGAGCAAGTTTAATTTTCGGCGAGACTTATCTAGCTAAAAAATCTGTTTCAGACTCAGCGAGAGTATCGTGGCTCTTACCAGGATGGTCCGCGAGGTGGTGGAAGAGGAGGTCGTGGTGGCGGTGGAGGACGGGGATACGATCGAGGAGGCTACTATGGTCACGATAACAGATACTAACTCTATCACGCGCTGTTGCCTTTTTGTCCTGAACCGAATTTGTTTTCACAAGTGCCCTTTAAGTTGTCGCTTTAGCCATTTTGCACTGGTGACGGATGTGAAATTGATTGCCTGGCACTATGTTTCGATCGCTTGCTTTCATAAGCGTGTCGGGTTCATCGACTATTGCACTGTGGTTGATGAGACCTGTTTTTTCATCTTGTTACGTCATTGTCGAGTTGTTTCGCCTACCCGGTTATTTTCAAGTCTAGCTCATTTGTTGACTGTGTTTGTTCCTTGTTCTTGTGGAAATATTTAATTATTGGCAGGTCTTTGAATTAAAAGGTAGATTGGAATGGAGCTTTTTTGATAAATCGCTTCTCCTGTACTCTTATCAATAGTGTAACGTGGTCGTCCCACTCTTTTTACGTACCTGTATCCGTTTCTGATTTGCCTTTTTTCACCACTACTACAATCTCGTGATAGATTGTACAGAAGTTTCCCACCTGACTAATTGATTAGCTGGGAAAACTTGGTAGAAGTGAGACTTTGTGGCGGTTTCCCTTCTCAGCGAAATAGGCCGGCACGCTCAATATTGACAGCTCGTTAACATCGCCTTGTTCACATAAATATAGGAGCAACCAGTCAAGACTTTTTCTTATTTTCTTTCGGCGTTGAAATGCAACAATGCAGTGAAATTCAGGTTCATTCACATCACTGGGGTGTAAATTGCTCCAGTTTTTTCTTCTCTAGCAAATTGCTTCGCTAGGCAACGCCATTTATCTCATGCGTCGTTGTGGTACGAGGTACGGAAAACTGGCGCCACAAAAACCCAGCGCGATTGAGTTTGGTGTAATAGAAATGCGTCACAATGAATGATGCTTCTCAAGCGTTTTCGCATGCGTTTTTGAAGTCCTTTTCCTGTTCTTTCCTTTCCCTATTTTGAGAGGGGGTTGGAGGTAGGTCCGAGGTCGCTAGCAGATCTTTTCTGAAAAAGTTTTGGGCCTAATAAAATTAGCGCCGTTGAGTGAGAGTAGGTAATGAGGGTTTTTACTTCTTATACATGGAACGCGATTCACTCTCATTTTTCGGACCTAAATGATTTGCGTTAGCGTAAAGATGATGGCAGTACAATGTGATGTGTGTCACTCCCCTGCAATAATTTCAGGGTTCTCGCGCTGCTTAAACAAAACAAACCCATTACGACGTACTTTAAATGGATTCTCGTTTTTTGTAAAATATTTATGATTGTGCGAAAAATCGTAAACGATACGCCATCGCGTTCGTATTGCACAAAGCAATTTTATCGTGGCCGTATTTAAAATGCTTTGCTGGGAGTGTGTCTTGTCGATAAGATATGATAATGTTATTCGATGAAATGAGACGTTCCATTGCACCTTTTAAAGACGAAAAATCGACGATAGTGATAGGAACCAGCCGTCGGAAAGCCTGGCATTGGCTAGGACCCACGCACCGTGGCTAGTTTCGGCGATTGTTCCGTTTCCTGCATTCGTTAACTGTAAGCTTTGATAAAAAGTGCTGTAACGGCCAAGTTTTCACTGGACTCCGCTATCTTCGCCCAAAATTTACGCTGCATTCCAGTCTTTCACGTCGCTCAAGTGGAAGAGTTTCCAGATACCAATTTAGTGGGATTTAGCTATGTGTGTTATCCAGCGATTTTTATGTGCTCTTCGAGCGTGGATCCAGCTCCCATTCAACTTGGGGTCGCCTCAAGTGAGCCTACTTTTCGCGTCAGCTGTCTGGGCATACTTAACTAGCTCTGCTACATTTGTTGCGAGGTTGTTTAAAGATTTTAGATTAGGGGCTGCTTCAGCCATGACTGCTACTCCACGACTTATTTATGGGTCTTCCTTTATGCTTAACTATCTCATGCTCCAGGGTTTCTACTCGCCTAAAAATTTCGGCTCATTATTTGGCTGAACTGCTGAACTCATCACTATCAAGTTCCGAAGAAATTTCGGAGGAGCTAAAATACTAGACATTCCTTTTTGCAAACCTGACATACCTGATGTCAACCTATCGTTGACACGAGTGCTTCTATCCTTCCGGTCAAATCTGGTACCAATAACAAAATTCTGGTGTGGTCTTCTGTAAGTATTCGATCCACTTCATTGCTTTTATGTGGTATTGGCCTTGTCGAATGATGCTGAAAATATTTGTTCATAAAGATCAACATTTTAAGCGCATGCGCATATTGACGTCATCTGTGCGCCTCGTGTCACGTATCGGCACCACACGAGGGAGTGGATTCAGTGCTTTATCTACTCTGCCAGAATGCCGGCCATCATCTGGTCACTGGCAGATAGGCTCTCGAACGACAACGACTGGTGCTGTTTATTCTCTCGACAAAGTTATCATAGATGATTCCGAGACTGCGCTTGAGGTACTTTGGTCACTTCTGTATTTTGGTTCACTATACCCTCGCCTTCAAATGACCAGAAATTGTGCAATTGCAGAAATTGACGTGGCATTAACGTGGCATCGATTCAAGAACATCTTTGAGCACACGTGATGTCACCTTTTCATCGAGAATTTAGCCACTAAATTCTCGATGAAAAGGTGACATCACGTGTGCTCAAAGATGTTCTTGAATCGATGCCACGTTAATGCCACGTCAATTTCTGCAATTGCACAATTTCTGGTCATTTGAAGGCGAGGGGTATGTGCACTTTAGGTTGCTGCAAGGCTGACAAGAAACGAACAGATATTGTTGCGTGAAGCGCTGGAAGATTTAGTAGCACGTGAAAATATAGTAAGTGAGAATTTATACGCTCAATAGCAATTGTTATGGAGGGTTTACGACAGTTTAGATGAAAAACAGCCAAAGAGAAATTTGAAAATTGAAAGATTTCTCCCTGTGTTCAAGCCTTAGTGCTCTACCCAAGCTCAGAGCCGTAGGTGGGGAAGAAAAATCCGTAGATCCGTTTCTGTTGAAAATGAGACCCCATTCAAATAATATATAGTATAGTATAAATGTAAGTAGTATAAATAGTATAGTACGGAAAAGCAGTAAAATTTACTGGATAAAATGTCGAATATGTTTTCAGGATTCTGTACCCATAACCGATGCTCAAACTCGCGCTTTGTTTCTTGTCAATGCTTTGCCTTTTATTGGATTTGGGTTCCTAGACAACATGATAATGATCGTTGCCGGAAATTACATAGATCAAGTAAGTCACTTCATCCAGGCTGCAGTTGTTTCGCAGTCTGCTTTTTTCCTTCGTCCTGTATTGTTGGGATACTACCAAACGTGAATGTGCTTGCAGGAGCTGGGAGCGTTATTATGTCTATCGACTATGGCTGCAGCGGGTTTTGGAAATCTGATCTCAGATGTGGCAGGCGTTGGACTTGCTCACTATGTTGAAAGTGTTTTCCTTAAACTTGGAATCAAGCATCCTGTTCTCACTTCCGAACAATTAGCGAGTTCCAGGGTATGTTTCGCAAGCTAACTCAAGTTTTTTTTTTAAATTTTAAACCGATTCGATTATTGCTACTTCGAGTTTGCTTATAATGGCGCATTGGGTTTCGACACAGTAAGGGTATATGTATATCTCATAAAGTTCAGCTGGAGATTACCTTTCTGTGGGTGGTGCAAATGTCTCTAAGGACATGTTTCTAGATTCATTTTTTTTGGAAAGGCAGGGTGGGTGGGTGGCAGGTCCAATGTCAGAAAGCTTATGTGGATTTGCCGCTAATGGTTTGAAGAGACGGGGAGGAGAAAATAGCCAAAATTTTATCAACTATACAGGATGCTAAACAAATATGGTAGCAAAGCATTTTGGCACAGAGACCACAACTCAGAACGAAATGCAGTGGAACTCTACACACATTAACTTCCTATCGAAAGAACGTAGCAGCTGTTGTCTAGATGTCTTACACAACATATTGAATAAATGAATGAACTTAGAGACCGTTAGATAAGATTGATTGTGGTTCGGTACCTCGCAGACGCTCGGGTGTACTTCGCCGACGCAATGCAGAGTTTTTGAGAAATTTCGGCCCAGACTTCTCATAGGTCTTAGTTGTGGTGCATTTGAAAGAAGAAGTTTCACTCTTTGAAATGGATCCCGTTGGGTTGAAGTGTGGCAGATTTGCCTTCCAATGGGACCCAGGAAAAAATTCGGCAACATTGGTTCTGCACCACACTCTTGAACTCGATTTCATTTTTGAACCGTTTCTCAGTCACGTTAAAGGATTTAAAGGGTATTCTTGGAAAGATTGTCTGACGACAACAGTACCTTCCAAAGAACTTTCATGATACGGATCCCTTATGAGATCGTGACATTCTTTATTGACAGGTGTAGAGAAATAAGAGCTTCATCATGTTTTGTTCAAAACTGCGCTTTCTGTGCCATAATTAGTTGCCATATTCATGGCGCATCCTGAATATATTAATGCTCTACTGCTAGTTCTAGTATTTAAACGGAAGTATAACCTTGGCTATCCCCTTGTCCGAATACTAGAAATATGAGGTGGTGTCAAACATAAGTGAATGGATTTATAGTTGGTTAACACGTGGTGGTGAACTGCGCAAGCCAAATTGACATTCAACATGAACATGCGTAAAAGGTGTATTTTCCACAGATTTCTTTTCCACAGGAAAGTCTGTCATTTCAGGCTCGCTGGACTACAAATGCTGCGCGTGCATTTGGACTTTCCATTGGCTGCATCATTGGGATGTTTCCTTTGCTATTCTTCGACGCTGATACTAAAGAAAATGCTGGGGGTCAACCTAAGACTTCACCGGAATCGAAGTAAAAAAGAACGACAGTCCTTTTATACGACGGAATTGTAAAAGGATGCACTTCACCACAGCATATTATAGTGCTTTGTTCTTCATTGCGAAGATTTCTCAATGTAGTACCATCTGTATTGTCAAATGTATAATAAGTGCGATTATTGTGTACACGGGAGTCCTTTTTACTACCAGATCTGAATATTCCTCGATTGATTTTGGTTGTACTTGTTTCTCTTATCATGCATGTGCCAGTATTCCATCTAGTGTCTTATGTCGATTTGAACAGCGTAATGTACATCGTACACCAAAGATTTCTCCTATTTCGCTTACCATATCCACCCTCATAGTGTTGCGCTGTTGGATGTGCTTGAGGTTTTTATCGTTGCAGGCCAACGATCTAAGTAGCCGTGACTGTATATACCATTTCGATCGACGCTTGTAATAAGAATTTTGTGCCAAACTCCATTTTCTAGTCATTAGATACTAAGCTATGAGTGGCTATGTAAATGAAGCAGTTTATCGCTTTTCTCGAATTCTCGTTCCAGGGTTTCAGTCCAAATTCATATAAATATTAAACTAAGAAAATGGCAAGTTTATGGGATGGATGTGTATGACATTTCCTTTCTGTTCTCTCACAGGATTAACTGAAACGTGCTGCGTTTTGCCAATTTCTTTGTGAAGATCCGAACACACTTGCTAGTTACCTTACTTTCTCTTGTGCTCTAGGAAGAGAGGTGGTGCGTTTGAAGTGGTCTTTCGCTGGGGTTGACACTGCTCTGTCAAGATGAGTGGACAGTATTTTGCCACCTACGTGGAAGACCTGGAGCAGGTAATTATTTTTCATAATAAATGATAATCACGGCAAAACATATCGGAGGCTGAAATGGTTCCAGTCAAGGTTCAACCGTGCACTTGCGCATATTTGTCGAATTTTTCTTCCGCACACTTTCAAATCTATCAAATTGCCTGCCTCAGACTCCGTTCAAAGCTGCCTCTGCGCTTTTACTATTGCCCTGATTCATTCGGCAAGACTGGGTCTACGTTCTGAACGGAAGCCTGTGTAGTTGGTTTTACAGCGATGAGCAGCGTTATAACCTACATCAGTTTGAGAGTCAAGTGTTTCTTCAATGTCAGTTGCGTTTGATCACTCTTCATAGTACTGGCAATCCCGTCATCGTTCAGTTTCTTACGCCCTTTGTGATTTAAACGCCTTTATAAACTTGTGCAGCTGAGAAAACTGTGAAAAACTTTTTCCAGGATCCGTTTGATGCCATTGACTTTGTTGAACGGGTTGCGTGGCGAATGACTGGCGGGGCAGAGACCATCAGTGATCCTGTGTCGTTGAAAAACAAGTTTGAGGAAATAGGTCAGCTTTGCAAAATGGCATGCGATCAGTTTCAGGTTTGTCTCAATTTCCTTCATGATTACATTATATGAATGAAAATGCTCTTTGGTGCCCTATGACGTTGGGAATAATTTCTTGTTCAACACCTAAAGAGTCCCCACAGTGACTGTTTAGTCACGGTGCCCAATTATCACCACCTCCTGATCTGGAATATAGCCATGAGATTATGATTTTCGACGAAATTATCTGTTCCATTTGCTAAGCTTTGCAACGATAGATTAGTTCCATGAAGAGGATACAGTGGGTACGTAAGGACACTAACCTAAGTGGAAGAAAATGGGTCACCGATGACCTATCCATATGGGCAGTCTATACGCTACCACTTCTTTTTTCATTTCTAGTCCATACTTTGATCTTTCACAGATTGATTATGAAAGATGGAAGTGGAGTGAAAGATGGATTAGGAAAAAACAACTAATCTGACCGCCGTGAAAACTGGAAAGCTTGCTTATGATATTCTCTTTTGTTGTCCAACGTGTAAGTTACAGAGCAAAATTTCCATGCTGGAGCACGAGCTGAACAAGGACAAACGTGAATACGTTAACCAGCTTCAACGATTGTACGAGAGGAACGCTGAGGCCATCGACAAAATCAAGGTGGGTTAATGGTTGTCTCCTCCATGTTTTCTGCCTTGTTAGGCTTCACATGAGTGGATTTCAGCAACTTGACGCCACGATGCAGTCCGTTTCCACGAAGGTGGTACATCTGGGAGATCAGCTTGAATCAGTACGTTGTTGATCTTATAAGTAGCTTACAATTTGCTCTAAGATTGAAAACCATCTTAGAAATTTGCTCGCCTAATATGTAGTCCGCCTTGATTGGTACGAGCCATTTCACTCCAGGAGCTTGCTCGCTTTTTCGCAGATTTTCAAGTATTTGCTTTGCTCACTATCCTACATGTAGGAGAGATTGAGTTGTCTCATATATAACATAGTCGATATGATGCAGTAGTCCTCTCGTTGATAATCAGCGCACTTTGAAGGTTCACCAACCGAGGCAACGGGCACATGATGCGCTTCAACTGATTCAGCACTTCGATGAATTCCTCTCAGATCAGCCTCTAAACTCAATGATTTTCACTGATCCGGATAAGGTATCCCAATTTGTCTTTGGTTCTCCATTTCTTTTTATTAACCACTCTTTTTTAGCTTCTTGAATCTGCTGATTTGGTACAAAAACTATATTCGATTTCACAGGAACTGTCTAAAGACAAGTTTCTCGCAGTACAAGCCAGAATTGCGCACAGGTTTGATGAATATGCCTGACTTCTAAAGTTATTTATCGACGTGTCAGAGTTTTGTAGGTATGAAGAGGTTGAACGGTTGCTTATTGACGAATTTGGACGTGCTCAGCGTGACGAGAAGAAAATGGCTGAAGTTGCGAAAATTCTCAGCGAATTCAAGGTCTGGTATCCATTTTTGCTGCCTTTGACCTGGAGATTATGGATTCAAATTGAAATTCAGGGCTATTCTCACTGTGTCGCTCGTTATGTAGAATACATACAGTCGCTATTCCGCACAGGTACCGACGATGTGTACTCAGAAGCGCTGCAGCTTGTGCGAACACACAAGCCGAAGATAGAGGCCATTTTTCCCAGTCCAACAGCTGTTGTGCAAAAACTGGTAAGTTTCTCTTATTATTTGTCCTTATAAAATCGGGCGATGTGTGGAGTTCATTGATGAGATTTATAGCACTGGCTCGTGCTTTTAGATTCTGAGCTTATATACTGGAAGGCTCAAAGATCATATTTATGCGAAGTTACGGGAATGCAAAGAAGGCGAGGATAGAGAAGGTTATTTAGTTGGACTGGCACAATCGTATTCAAGGTGCAGTTTGAAAAATCCTCCCACTTTTTTCCTCCCATGTTAACACTTGCTTCTCTATGCTATTTCATTTATCCATTGTATCTCCAACCAGTGCGTTTGTTATTATAAGATAGCCTTCTTTCAGCATTCTACGGCTTAACAAGGAACTCGATGCCCTTCATGTCAGTTCAGATGCATCTTTCTTACCAACTTTGACTCGCTCCATATTCGATAGGTACTTTTTGGTTGATCCAGTTATTGATTCATTTATTGCCACTTCGTTTCCGTGTTCTCTGCAGTTTTCTTCATTATTTAACAGTTGCAAGAACCCATGGGAATTTTTGCCGGTGAGAAATAGTTTCCAGCAAGCCTAGACTGTATCACTGAACTCATGAAATGGATGAGTAAGAGCTGAGGAGCCGGATGAGATTGAATCACATGCTTTTTGAACTTCTATCGAGAGACCAAATGGGCAACTACTGGGAGGAATTTTGTGGTCTTTGGGAATTCAACCACAAATGGTGACCACACTCAAGGTTCAGTCCGGTGTGCCG